AAAATTCAGTGGAACATTTATTCATTTCGATATAACTTATTAAAAATTCAAACCCAGTTTTATTCGATTCAAATAACATGGAAAGTGGAAAATTTTAACTTCGAATTTCAACGTGAAGTGGAAATTATTATTGTTATTGTTAATATTATTATTATTACTATTATTATTAATTATTGGTTATCATGTGATCATTATTATGTAATGGATATTCTCTTAGAAGTGGAGTGCTCTCTTCTTTCTGGGATAAATATATGTTCAGAAATATTTCCTTTATTATATGGACTGAATAGAATTTCGCTGCCACTTCATAAAACTCAAAAAAACTGAATATAAATTGATGATTATACATCATGTTTTCAAGTGATTGAAGTTTTAGATGAAGTTTTGTCGAATGGAAATTTATGCTTCTTGACCAGAACAAACAAATTTGAAGTCCAAAGCGTAAGCCAAATTCGAAAGAGTTCATGTCCCAAGACTTTGATTTTGGTTACTTTTATAAATTAATTTGAAAATAACTGCAAAGTAGAATCCCCGCTAATGGCTGTGAAGGAGAGCTGCATGGTTGAATGCATAATGCTTATCATTTCATGCATCATCTATCGGCCTATGCTCTTTGATGGAAATAAACGAGCTATTGAAATCAAATCCGAGTGCTACTTGGAAGCCACCTATAATTCTAAGTGCCAAAAGAACCTCATCCTAAAAGCCTTTCTTTATTTATTAACTTTCATTTCTATAAATAAACCAAAATAATAAAATGAATTTAAAAAATGAATAAAAAGATAGGATTCACTATCAATTAAATTTTTTGTACTTATTTCCTAATGGAATCGATTATTTCTAAAAATGAAAATTATATTTGTTTTTCCTATTTCCGCAAAACTTTTCGTACTTAAATTTACCAGTTGTAAACACATTAATATCTTTTTTGAAATGAGTTTATTGACTAAAGTGGTTTACTCAGTGGAGTGAATCTAACTATTTCTTTTCATTGATAGTGAAAAGTATAATATTAAAGGATTAGATTTTGAAATATTTCTTGAAGAAAGACGGTGGTAACGGAAGAGAAATTGGAGAAAACATGGATCAGTCAATTACTGCATAAGCTAGTCTCTGTTTAATTTTCAGTCGTATGCATGAAATGAAAATTTATGGAGTTGGCCCAAAATTATCTTACTAATTTGAATAAATATTCGATTTCTTAAAAATTTTCCAGCCCACCTCAATGTCAACATAATTTGCCAACTAACTTCGGTTATAGCCGATTAAACTGCCAGTAGAAAAGTTTAATCTAGTCGATAATATTTATTAACTGGAAGAAAGACAATGAATTAAGTTGATGGTAGAAACCATAGTAAAAAGGTAAACCTAAAGTCCAATTTTTCGTTTTTTTTGATTTTTCTTCTTTAGTGTTATACGCGAATTTTAATTTCAATTTTTCTAATCAAAAGTTCATCAATTTTTATCAATTTTGCCTTATTTAAAAACGTGACCGCCCACTAAACTAGCGAAGTTCACTGAATTTTCCCTTTTTCAACACAATTAAGGATAGGCCACCAGCACTTTTTAACATATTTTGCGTATAATGAACTGGCAAAAACAATATTCGATTATTAATACCAATATTAATTTTTGCTTGGAATGTCTCGCCCAACACATGATCCTATGATTAAAACCCACCTGTACTTCTGTTGTTGAGCGACACCATGGAAAAAATTTCTTAACGGCCAGCAGATTTACCCTAACTAGAAATGGGTGAGCGCTAACCACTTATTGTTATAAATTAGTTTAAAAAAGAGGAAACTAGAGAAATCATGAAAAATTTGACAAAACAAATTAAAAATCCTGGATAATTTGATGACACAAAATGTATCATTGAACAAGTTAAATCTAAGCTTATTTGATAGTTGTGCATTACTACCACAAAATTGTGACTAATAGAACTAACAACTACGATTGAATTTATGACATTTTTATTCTTTTCTTATTTAATTTTTCCAAGAAATTTTTTTTATAATGAATCTCTGGAATAAATCATGGAACGCAGCTGCCGCGATTGTCACAAAATCTGAAGGAGCTGTAACGAAAAAAGAACCGACTCACTTCTTATTGATTGTTTGTATTGAATCGTCAACTCTTTTTTCGTTATAGTATCGTAATCATTGTTCGTCTTGTCCTCAAACCTGAGTAATTAAATCTTTAGATAACAATATAATCATAACAATAAAATTAGATAACGATATATTGTATCACAATATATCACCAAATAATCTAAACAAAAAAAAACAGCTAAAGAAATTACAAATAAAACAGTAAAATTGCTACATAACCCTCACCACACCACTTACCTAGCACATCAAAATCGAATCAAATATGCCCAAAAAGGAGAAGAATCGAAAAAAACCGCGGCCGCAGTCACGCTTTGACTGGCCCTGAATCGACTTATCGATTCTGTTCGTTTTTGAGCACAGGCGTTTATTTGCCTGATGCACTTAACAGATTATGGAATTAAACCAGGTTTTTGAAAGAATTTTGAATTAAGCTTATTCAAATTATGGTTAGTTTCTCAAAAGTGCGCTAAAGTTTGCATGCATACCTTTCAATAGACCAAATAAATGCAACATTCAATTGCGAAATAAAAACATTTGAAGATGTATGATATTTCAAATATCTCTAATTTTGAAATAAGCTGGATTTAATTATTCATGAAAAATATCGAATATGCATCTGAATGGGTCATTTAAGCAATATACACTCACAAAATGTCTGATTTTTTGATTATGGCGGAGAAAAAAAGAAATTCTCCGGCAAAAAAATTTCTTATCGCACTGACAGCCAACAGAACCAGCTTCACTAGAAATAGTGAATGCTAATCATTTCTATATTGGTAATTAGATTAGAATGCGATTTGTTCAGCATACAATTATTTAATGGTTGAGTTGAATTCCCAGCATCGCTCGCATTTTTCCAATATCACATTTATTCCAGTCAGTAATAAAAAGCATTTCAGCCATCCTTTCCAATGAGCATTAATTTTATCCTTTTCCAAACGATTTATGGCATACTGTTATTTTGGAATAATATCAAATAAATAAATAAATAACTGCAAAAAGCCGTAAATTCACTTTTTGTAGATAATTTTTGCAAGGATTTCCCGTTGTTTGCAAAACCTAATATAACTATCGCTTATCTATATTCTCCATATCTGATCATCTGATTTTCAAAATTTATCGAATTAGAACTGGTGATAAATAAAGAAAGCTAATCGTTACTATTTGCTATCCCGTTGTTTTCCTTTTCCTTCTTAAGTGCAAAAATTTCAGAACCTTTGGAGATAATTTCTAAATAATTTTGAAGTAATTTCTAACTGAGAAAATTCATAAATCATGGCAAAAAGATGAAGGATGAAAAATCTATGATACAATAACATAGATTCTATACTTTCATAAGTTGTCTTAACATTGATTTATCGAATTTTATTTTCGATAAAATAGGTTAATGATCGGCGCTTACTGGTTTCTGGTTCGGCTAAATTCATTTCTTAATGTATTTCTTGACAGCTTTACTACTTTCACTACTTTAACAAACTTCTACCACGCGATAATCTAAGATACTAAGATCCATTTTTCTTATCCCTCTCCAGTTGGTCATTCTCCCAATCAGCCGACTGTTCTTCACCTCTCGGTTTTCAGTGTCACCATTTTTTAATAAATAAATATGTAGCTTTTTTTTGTTTTAAATATGTCAAGCTGAAATTTCCACCAATAAATTTTCGTTATAAATCATTGATAATTTTAAGTTGATGAAGGCAATTTTTTGATTATGAATAATTTTTTCTTTTTAAATTGAAAACCAGCCAAGCAGGGCGACAATTCCATGTGCTTGTATTAATAAGAACAATTAAAATAACAAATAATGAAATTTAATAATAAGAAAAAAAAAGAAAATATGACAAAAATTAACAATTTAAAGAGGAAATAAAGAGAATTTATAGAATAATATAATACAGTACAATTCGAAATAACTATTATATATAATCGGATGGTAAAAATCGAGATTTCACACTTCCTGCATGATGTGAACTTTTTAAATAACATCATAATATCTAATCTTTTTTCAAAGATAGCTAAGGATAAAGCACAAGCTATATCGTTCGGTAATTTATTCCAGTAATTAATAGTGCGAATAAAGAAGTCTTGAGCCCTTAGTTTAACTTTGCACATAGGTTTTAGTAATTTTGGCCCATTAGTTCTTGTTGGATCCAAATTTAGCCTAAAATTATAATTTTTCGAATAATCTAGTTTAATAAGTATAAATAAAATCTTGTTTAATTCGACGAATTATAGAAGTTTTAGTGTATTATAGTGTATTATAGAAGTTTTATTTTATAATTAAAATTGCTATTAGGAGAGAAGCGTCATATAAAATATTTTTGAAGTTTTTCCTTCAATTATTTTGCTTGATTATTTGCGATATCTCAGGGAATAACCGTACTGTAGTCAAGAAGAGAACGAACGCTTTGTACATTTTGATAAGAAAACCTCCAGCTTTGTTCTTAAACGAACGAAAATTAATATTTAGAATTTAAATTTAAACTTAAAATTAAAGTATCTTTGAGGATTTCTTTACCATGGTTCTGCAGTGAAGATCGAAATCAAGATTTTCATCCATAATTATTCCAAGATCGGAAATGTGTGAGACTCTTCTCATTACATTGCCATTAATAAAAAAGATCAGGAAGATCGAATCCTTTTGAATTGATATGAAGAACGCTATACTTTTCAAAACGAAGGGTAATTTGCCTGTCATATATCCAGTTAGCTATTCTGTTAAGGTCCTCCTGCAGTGAAGATAGGCTATCTGATCTACCATGAGAATAATAAATTTTACAGTCATCAGTATAAAGATAAGTGGTAAATTTAGTATCACTTTGCAGATATCATTTATATATAATAGAAAAGCAATGGCGAAATACAACTACATTGGGGAAATTTGAATAATTATTGGCACTACTAAGCTCCTTAAAAATTAACGAAAAAAACGAGTGTTAGCGTTCATTTAAAATCTTCAAAGTGATTTTCGTCGGCCGATTTGATTGAAAATTGCAAAAAGTGAAAGTTTTTTAAATAAATTTGGAATAATAAAACGATTTTAGAATCGTAGAAAGAATCGAATATTATTCATTTGTTTTTATTTTTTTATTATGCAAATGGCTATTTCTTCGCAGAATTTATCGTTTGATGGAGATATTACTGAAGATATTGAATCTGATGGTTAGTTTTGAAAATTTTGCACCATAGCAAAAATATGCATAAAAATTTCCTTAAAAGTAATTCCATTTTTAGTTCATAGATCATAATTTCAAGTTAAAATTTGTGATTATCTAATAGTTGTATATAAAAAATCGTATATAGATTGTTTATCTCAAAAAAATTCTGAGCATAATTCTCGATATTCATCTCATTATTAATGATCCACAGAATTCGTAGTAGAGCGAGTTTCTTCATTTTTTTCTGCTTTATTCCATCAGTTCTATTAATAGCTTAGAATGTTTCATATAATAACATTTAAAGTTCATCTTTTTCAGAAATTTCAGAGAGAGATTTAAGGTAAAATCATAAAATAGAGGTCAAAAAGGGAAGTTGATTTAAATGGAAGGGGTTAAATCAAAGTCAAACCATAAGATAAAAGTTTAATTCAAAAGAGTTAATAAAACTTCAGATGGAAAACGAAAAAATTTCTTCCGATATTGCTTAAGAAAATTTTATTCCGAAATGAGATGCCATAAATTAAAAATGCGGAAAAACGGAAAATATTGAATAATAATAATCATTATCAACAGGACCGAAAAGTGCCATTTCTTTCAATCCTATTTTTTTATTTTTGTAGATTTATCATTGGCCGTGTAGATTATCTATATTAATACGATTGAAATCTTTCGTTGATTTCAGCGGATAATGTCTTGAGAAATGCATCAATATATTGCACGTTAATAATGATAATAATGTGTATAATTGGAATAATCGGTAATTCTTTATCATTATTTATTTATCGAGGACCATCATTTCGTAAGCGATCCATAAATATATTACTTGCTGCTCTTAGTGCAACAGATCTTTGCTTATGCACACTTGCAATACCGGTGTTTTCAATTTCGTTAATTCAAAGCTTTTTTCCAGGTTTGCTTAATTTTTAAAAATATTTTTTTCTTTAATGGCGATTTTAAGGGGTAGAATGGCTCAAAGGCTTTTCACTCTCATTTCGGAGTATCTGTGCTAGGATTCTCAGAAATCACGAGAAAACTTGTCTTTATGCTAGCGATTGATCTATCATCAAGTGATACCCTGGTAAAATTTGTCCAACCCAACAAGCAGGTGGAACGAGCCCAACTAGAAATGGTGAGCCCTAATTGAAAAAAATATCGATTATTATCTTTAGTGTGGTCAATAAAGCATTTTTTTCAAAAAATTTGTACAGAATCGCGATTTATAGCAAATAAGGTTCTTGGTGATTATAGGATCTATATCTTCTTTTTCTAACGGCACTCACCATTTTTGCTTTTGCTGGTCTTATTGGCTTTTAGGACATAAGTAAAAAAATAAGTGGTGTCCAGCATTTCTGGCTAGACTCGAATATTTGTACGATGAGAATGATAAAAGCACTTCGCCGAGCAATCAATTTTTCTAATAAATCTCCTCTCCACAGGTTGAGAGGAATTTATAGATCTAATTTCATTATATTCTCTACCAAAAATATAACTGCAGAAATCATCTTAAAGGTGCTTCAAAATATTTAACTGGACATATATTAATATTTGCATATCCAGTAACTTTAATGTTACAAAGCATGTCTGTATGGCTCTTGGTTGGAATAACCATTGATCGTTATTTAGCAGTATGTCATCCATTCAAAGCCAGAGTTCACTGTACTTGGTTAGTTGCTCAATACGTGATCATTAATCCATTCATCGACAAATTAAATTTTTTTCAAATTTCGCCGAGAGGCTCGCCCAATTATGCACTCTTAAAATCTCTCCAGCGTTTACTCAGAAGATCCTCTTTTCTCGACTTCGCTACTTAGACTATTATTGCTGTTTTTATCGAGGAACTCGTTGACTATAATAATTTTACTTTCATTTCAAATCAGTTTTTTACAATGAAGGCAATAATTTAAATGCTCGATGAGTAATTTAAATAAACAAAAGTAGTTATGGATGGATTTTTTTCAGCCTTTTCCTTTTCCTTTCAGCAAAAATGGCTTATAAAAAGGACTTCTATATAATTGCTATATACATATATACATAAAGCCAAAGTAATCCCAGTGATAATTGGAGCACTTGGAATTAGGCCCTTAAAATAAAAAAATGGCTTTGGCGAATTCCAGAAATAACATCAGAGATCTCTTTCCGAAAGAGCGCATTGCTAGGAATAACTAAGATACTGCACTTAATTTCGCAAGCCTCTGGTAGAGGACTCGTGGTTGACGATGATCTTTAACACTCATAGGGTATGAAAAAGGGGTTTTTTTATATATATGCTTGTAAATAGCTTTTTCATTTCCTCATTTATAAATTTTTACAGTGCGAGAGCGAAATTATCTATTTGTATAATCGTATTTTTTTCTGTCGCGTATAATTTCGTACGATTTTGGGAATTTAAATTTGATGATGCAGATGGAATTATATCTTTAGAAGATTCAATAGTACCTCTGTTGAGAGGTGATCATCTGTTTATGCTTTTGTATCAAAATATAGCAACGCTTATTTCACAATTTTTCATACCTCTAATTGTTTTATGCGTCCTGAACTTACGGGTGAAATTTTTTTGTCTTTTCCATCCTTTTGAACCTTTTTACCTATAAAGAATTATTTGAAATGATCCATCTTATTAGATCTTTCCAGATTACTCAAAATGCATTATTTAGAAAAAATATCCTGGTTCTGCTTTTTGAAAGTGTGCTCACTTGCATTCACCAAAGATACTTTGGGAGATATCTTCAAAGTTAATAAATAAGATGAAGCAGACGGAAAAAAAGAACTTTGTTTGAAAAGCGTATAATCATTAGAGGTGTAGATATAAATCCTCAGAAATGACCCAGATGACTTTTGATGGCAGAGAAGAGACCTGCTCTGCTTGTCCATAACTTTATGTTTTGAATGAAGAAAATATATATAAAGAAATATAAAATATAAAAATATAAAATAAGGTGATCTAATTTATCAAATTTCACAGTCAGTTAACGTTTTATGTTAATTTGCCCTTTTAAAAATCATTGAAGTCATGGCCATATGATTGCCATCATTGTTGCCAACGATAATGTCTACTTCAGAGATGCTGAAAATTTTCAGGTAGCCCAAACGATTTTACAAGCGAGTGAGCAAAGGAGACAGTTAGTCGCTTCTGAAAAATGTGAATATAACACTGCAAGAATGATGTTTTTTATTGTCATCGGTTCGTTGAATTTTATTTATTTCCTTTGAGAAATTCTTTCATAATTGTGGTGCTATCACTTATCTCCTTCAGTTTAAACTTTTAACAAAATTAATCAGTATAAACTTCCTTCCTGGGTTTGAGGCTTAAAAGCCGAGCAAATGCATCTTTAAAAAAGTTGAATTTCCTGAAAATTACGTTTTTTTACCATAGAAGAATAATATTAAGCCGCTATAATTGCGGTTGTTGTGGCTAGAACAAAGCTGTCATAAGAAGCCGGCTGGTGCTGGGGAACCATCTGTGTTTCCTTCTATCTTCAACGAGTAAATCCAGTGAATTGAAGGAAACCAGAAGTGGCGAGTGCTGTTAAAGGAAAAAAAAATAATTACGAGATCTTTGTAAGAATACATTTTCTAAAAATAGGCTGTCCATTTATTGTTTCCTTATGAATACTTTTTAGATGCACTGGCTCAAAATACACAAAATTTAATATGCAATAATTTGAATCTCCCGTCAGTTGCCAGGCTGCCCAGTCTGTTTTTTTTAAAAATGTGTTCATCATTTCTGGTCTCGTTTTATCTCTGGTTAGCTTGTCTGATCCGACAAATTTTGGGAGGTGCAATAGAAGTACAGATGAATCGCCAGCGCCACCAGAATTTTTGAAAGAAGGTTCAGCTTTGCTGCTTCGCTGCTTTGCTTAAGCAGTAGAATTCTAACGTCGGTAGAGTAACAATTCACTGGACTATTCTAATCAAAACATGTAAAAAAATATATTACAAATGTGTTCTAATATACTATATTATTATTGCTATTCTTCGCTATATTTTGTACTTACGGTTTATGAATTTTCAGTGTTCATATTTTGCTACGCCTTAAGTATGATATTAAATTTGGTTGAAATTCTTAACGAGGATCTATTTCGCCAGCCAATTGGCTATCTTCTTAATGATATTAATAATATTTTAGTTGTAATCAATTCTTCATCGTCCTTCATATTTTACACATTCTATTCAACGAGGTTTGACTAAACGATTTTGGTAGAATGAGAATAGTGGAAAAAGCAAATCATTAATTTCATAGTTTTCATATTGCAGTAGATCTTATTCTCCAAGCATCTTCTTAACAATTATCCTTCCCAGTGAATTTTCATTATCGATATATCATGGAATTTTCTTCCAAAGAGTTCTTTTAATACACTTTAATCAACCGAAAATTCCATTTCTTGTTAATATGCTAAAAAAAGATTTCATTTCAGGTTTCGAGTGCAGCTCCTACAAATGTGTTCTATTCGGCGATTTATGACGCTTTCAAGGTATGAATCGGATCGACTTAGATCGCCGACAAAATCGCTTCTTGTAATCGAGAATCCCAATATTAATATGCGCTTCTTCAGTTATTGTAATGAATCGAAAGCGGATAATCATTTCGTAAATGTAAAACCACTTTCCAGCATTTAATAAAATGTAACCGAAATAATATGAAGAAGATCGCCGCTATTCCGCAACAATTTTTCTTTCATATGTTATTGAGTAAAAACTTATAATTATTTTAAAATTATATCTCAGTAGTTGATCGCAGATAAGTCATATTTATCCTCGGCTAATTTATCTTGTTCCGCGATTATTACCAGCTTTCAATTTTTTTTTCATTCTCTTAATCTAAATGGGTTATTTTTTGATTATTATATAATTTATATAATATGTGCTCACGTCATTCAAATATGGCTAATCACATAAACGATTTTAGTTCGTAAATTCGTAATTATTAAGTAAAACAGAGCATATAAATATTAGAATATATTCTTAATAATATTAAATGTGCTCATGCATTGTTATTTATCATTTTTTCATGCGTCCCAGCAATGCTAACTTAACGAGAAGTAGTGAACACTATTTATTCAGAAAGATTTTTTATGTTGTTATTTAACAATAAAAATCTGATAATGGAAACAATCATTTTATTAAATTTGAATTTTTTGGTTAAAGAACAGAAGTCTAGAAAAAGCTCTAAAAAGAAAACTGTTACAAAATTGCATATATATATTATATATATATTCTTTGCCCTTCTTGAGATATATGAAAGAAAATAGACATAAATATTATTTCTTCGAAATCGTTACTACAAAAACCAATTCATTACTGATTACACATAAAAGATTAGAAAGATGATCACAAAGAATGATCATCATCAAGCTATTTTCTTAAAACTCATGTATTTCATTACGATTGAAACTTGACCTTTCCTGAAGTTCCAATCTGAATCTTATGAATGAAGTAAAGATGACTGGAAAGAAAAAGGCCGTTTAAATTTTTGCACAGCCATTATCCATTAACTTGGACTGTGACCATATTAAAAAAATAAGATACTACCACACTGTTCACAAAACAATTACTTATTTCAAATGGAGAACTGTTCGTTTTATAATAAAAAATTCGTTATTTGTAAATTATTTGAAAAATTATTGTAAATAATTTTTTTTGATTTTAATGAATTTTAGTGATTTTTAATGATTTAAATAACTGCAGTTATTAAAAATCATTAACAAATATCTCAATTTCCTCATTCGTTGTAGCATTACCCCAATGATTTATCAGCAAATTGCTTACGATATTTGACGTTCGACTATATGTCCAAATACAGCAAAATAATGCACTTATCGTAAAATATACATGAATTACCTACAAATTACAGACTTATTTTAATATTAATATTTTAATTTTAATATTTTAATTTTAAATTAAATTTTGATAAATTTTATAAATTTTAATTTAAATTGTAAATTTTAATTTTGTCTATATTCATACTTTGGATGTAAGATAAAAAGCAATAAATTAATGCCTTTCATATTTTATCTTAAAAATCTTAAAAGCAAACACTTTTAAGAAAGGTGCAAAAAAGGAGCAGAGATGGTCGAATGTTATGGTTGCTTCAATTCGCATCGAGCACCGTGTATTCTTGCCCTAAGTACACCTACTATTAAAAAATCGGAGTGGTGCTGGCCACAAAGACATATTTCTTTCGATAAATGACTCGCTAGCAAAAATTTCAGACTGTATTAATAGCCAGCAAATCAGAAACTGAGAGCGTTAATTACTTATTGACAAATTTTAAAATAGAAAAGCGATCGATCTTTTTTCATTTCTTGCAAAAATTTCATTAAATTCAATTATTTAAATTCAATAATAATAATTTTTTCGAAATTTATGAAAACTTTGAAATTCGTTTATAAATTTCCAAAATGCAAAATTTTTTCGGAACTACGAAATTTCCAAATTTGTAAAGAATAAATTATATATATGTACTTACATATATAATTATATATGTACTTAATGTGCTTACAATTTGGTGACTGCAATTATTTTTTTAGCTTATTTAATTTAAAAAAATCTGAAGAAAGAAAGACATACTAAATTGGATTTGATCGTATTTATAAATTCAGTTGGCGAAAACAATGCCAAGGCTAATATTAATATCGATAGGGAATATAAAATAGTTGATAATATTGATAAAAACATATCCTTTAAGATAAACGAATTAAATTTTCAGAAAATTTTAGTATAATAATGAAAACTTTTCAACTTTTTTTGTATTTTTAAATTTTTAAACGAACACTTGTTAAATTTATTCAGTTTTCTAAAATAAAGTTCATTATATGCATTTTTTTCACTGGAGATGGGATAACGTGAGTGACTGCTATTAAAATAAGCGAAGAACAAAATTCGAAGTCGGAGAGGACCAAACCTATCACCAAAAAATTCTAGTGGTGTTGGCAACCCATGTGTTCCCGAATTGACTCTCTGGTAAAAATTTCTAAATGCACTGATAGCTAGTGGTCGTCTATTCCAGCCAAATATGGTAAGGGCTAGCCAGTTGTTAATTTTATTTATAATAAATTTTTTTGCTAAAACGAATGAATTGAGAAATTATTGTTAATTTTATGTTCAAACTGCAGTAAAATTTATTGCAAGATTAGTTTACCGCTAAAATGATTAGTTTATTTCAATGCCAAATTATTTAATATGCTACTCGCTTTATAAATAAAGAATGAAACATCTCCAACGAATTTTAATTCAAAATGGCTTAATTCTGTTGCGCCAAATCAAAGAAATCAAGCACAATAATTTATAATTCATATTTGTCAAGATTTTATAAAATATATATATTAAGTTAAAATATATATATTAAGCAATAATAAAAAAGCAAAGAAATATCATAAAAAATAACTCACAAGCTTCTTCCAGAAGAATTTTTGCACTGTGAACCACAGTGAAACCAAAATAGCCACTGAGGCTATTAAATCCATAATAACCACGCATAATAGTGCTTGATTGTTATGCAAAACATAATCATTATTCTCCGCTACCAACAAAATTAATATGGTTACCACCTATAATTTCAGCGAACAAAATTGAGTTTTTATTATACAAGACCAAAAGATAAAACCACACACTCAATGTATATCTATTACTATGAGAGTTTCACTGCTTCTTAGCATGAAAACGCTTTCTTATAAATTTAGAAAATATATAATGTTGAATAATTTTTTAATTCATTTTTATTCAATTAATAAATATATTGACTGATTATCATAAAAAGATAAACAAATGACTTTATTTGCACTATTTTATTGACTATTAAAATAAATTACTTAATAATCTACGTACTTCTTGCTTCTTACATCAAATTTTAACCAAGAAAATCAAGTAAAATTATTCAAAATAGTGTTCTATTGCAATTCCAGTACACGTAAGCATCGTTTATACAACGCTATGATACTTTATTCATTTTCTTTCATTCCTTATATCATTCCTTTATTTATTGTTTCTAAGACACAAACGTATGGTTTCGGTTGCCCTATTGATCGTGGCGAGTAGTGGTTCAAATTTAAATTTTGTCTGCAGGCTAAATCCACCCTGCCAGAAAAAACAGAAAGAATACATCACAAAAAAAAAACACTCTTTGAACAAAGGACTCTTCATAATAATGAGTCAACTTCTTAATATTCAAATCGTACAAAATTTATTTTTTTCTTTCTTTGCATAAACATTCATATCTGTTAACAAATTTGTGCAAAAAAATTACCTCATTTACAAATTTTACATATAGCTGTAAAACTTAAGGCTTTAAAAAAAAATTTCTATATAACTTCTTTTGTAATTTGCATAATACTGTAAGCTTAACACACATTTGGGAAAAAAATAAGCTCCTAGAATCGTTTCCGAGCGTGCTTATAAACGACAAACGAAGTGTGCTTCTAAAACGACGAACGGGAACTTCAAGCGATCAATAATTTCTCTCTGTAGACCTACAGAAACATTTTAAGATTGCCATTAGGTATAACACTAGATTAGATGTTGTCTTAGCTACTCCTACTTCTTTTGTTGATAAATTAAAGTCTTGAAACTTTTTGTAATAGTGATCACAATATCATTCATGACAGTTCGACAGTTACTTCCGATACCCAACTAGTGCACTTCCTACTAGTATGTCATAACGTGGAAGTGACTGACTTTCGGAGACATTCCTTTAGTTTGGACTAGTATTCATTCGCCGTTCCAGAAAAGTCATTGAGATGCTTCAATAATTCGGTTTGAAATGCACTTACTGCTCCCAAATTTTTTAATTTGAGATGGTTGAAAGATCTTGTGGGATGCTGTTTTCGGCGAGTTGTTAATTTTATGCGAATCCTATTTCGAACCATAACATGGCTAGATCCATTAAGTTTGCCCGTTTCAGCGCCGCGATAAGACTATCTAGCACGGAACTCTTCCAAAGGCGACTAAGATATAATCAATCTGGTTGAAGTACTGGTTTTACATGATTAGATGCTTTCTATGATGCCGGAAGCAAGTATTTGTAACGAAAAGATAATGCTCTTTGGCACAATGAAGAAAGCGTTCCCCATTGCAGCACCGGTCTGCGATGGCATATTTACCAATTGCCAAGGTCATTGCAGCGGCATTGTGACCTACGCACGCATTCCAGTCTCCACCGATTATGACCATATCATGTTTCCGTAGAGGCCTTGTTAGCAGTTGAAGTTCCGCATAGAACTTATCTTTAAAACGGGGGGTAGGCCATACGGTCAGTTTCCACTCAATCAAAGCGGAATGGGCCTTGTCGGACATGACAATCGCTACGCCATTTCGCCCCAAGTTATTCGAACCACCACAGTCATATAGCCAGTACTTTTGTTCTGAACCAGGATTAATAATACTGCGAGACCGAGAATATGCGAGACCGAAAATAGGAAGACGGACTTCCGATGAGCAAGCGATATCCACACAATATTTAGAAAGGGTGTGGATAGTGATCGCATGGCTTGCAACGTCCATAAGGATTCTGACGTTCCACGCTGATACGGCAGACACCTCGCAACGCGTGCAGAGGGCTGTTCCCTTCATAGGTTTCGAGCAATTACCCTGGCTTACGAGTACATTTTAGTATCGCTTTAGGCCCGGACTGTACACTTATCGCATGTATTACCGGATTGGCAGTATCATTGGCAGTATGCACATCGGGAGACGCGGATGCCGTATCAAAAATATCTGGCCCTTTCACCACAGAGTAGGGGATAGATTTACATGTGGGGATAGATTTATACGTGGGTCCCCAGCAACCACTCGGATTTCTGACATGAAAGTTTTACTGCTGCCAAAGGCAGACATAATTATTTTATATTATAATATTATTATAAATTTTATATATATGTACATAAATATTTATATTTTTTTCAATTCTTTATTTGTTTTTTTTTAAATTTAAGAAAAAGAGGAGATGAAGAAAAAAAAACAAAAAAAGATTTAGCTCGTAGTTCGAAGTTTATAGAAAATTCTAGAAAATATTCCCTTTATTAAGTTAAAATTAGAGCGTTGTGTATCTCTCACGAGATTTTCTAGAAATTGCCTTATTGCGATTATGAAATCATTAATTCTACGCTCGCAGAAATAAACTAGGATTTTTTACGTTGTTTAACTCTCTCTATTGATGAAAAAGTTAATTTTTTTAATAGCATCATATCTTGTAGAGCAATATATCCCTTTAGGAAAAAAAAGCGTTAGGTCGATTTCTATTTTTCTAAAATCTCTAAAAAAATGTCAAGGAGCTTTATAGTAAATATTAACCAAATTGCCAAATGGCATCTCTGCACATAAAGAATGTTTAAAAAGTTTCCGTACCATTCGTAATTACTTTTCAAATAAAGAAGAGCAACTTTTAAATGTCAATAGAGATTCCTTCTGGAATTACATTAAAAAAAAAATTTGCAAATCCACGTAAACAAATAATTCTGCAACATAATGACAATCTAATCACTTCTGATATTGATATTTCAAGTGCATTTAATCAATATTTTTCTATTGTATTTGTTGACGATAATATTCATATTTCTTTTAACGTAAATCGAATTTGTTGCATTTCTCTCTGTGAAGTTGAAATAACGCTGCAGGATGTCTATGATGCCTTAAATAGATTTGAGGTGGTAGATTTCAATTTCAGCTGATCGCGATAATATTCCACAAATAATTTATAAAAAATTTCTCTGCTGTTTCTCTGAATCTTTCCCTATTTCCAATTTGTGAGGATATTATGGAGTCTGGCATTAGTCCCAGAATTTGGAAACTGTCTCATATAATTCCCATTTAAAAATAAAGGAAACACCAATGACCCTTCTAATTATAGGCCTATTATAGCCTAACATACGTTGGTAGCAAGGTACTCGAAAAATTGATCTGCAACAAATTGCTTATCTTGATGCCAATAATTTTATATCTCCTTATCAGCATGGCTTTTGTAGAAAAAAATCCACTTCTTCACAAATACTGGCAAATCTCTCTGATTGGTCAGCATCAATTAACAATGAAAAAACAGTATCAGTTGTGTACTTAGATTTGGCTAAAGCTTTTGATACTATTTCCAATAGCAAGCTGTTATCACTCTTAATAGTTATGACATTA